TTTGTACCCAAACTGAATATTTTGTAATTGTTGCTGTGTTGTTGTTCAGTGTTTTGTGCTCTGAATGACAGACCACTTTCTAATATGATAATAGCACAAATAAAGCAATGAGCAGATTTGCTGATATGTTCAAAATTTTAGTACTTATCACTAAATACTTTTACTATTTTCTGACATTGTACAGAAAAATATTGCAGCAGTAATGAACTACAGTTATTTTTAACCCCCTTTTTGACACTGTAATTTCCATTTGTAACCATAAGTCATTTAATATATTCCTTTCCTGCTTGGGCTCTGTTGCCAGTCCCGTGTTAACACAGAGTATGCTTGACTGCACAAGTTGAAAGGAGACCATGTAGGAGCCGCTCTAGAGATGACACTGGCAAATAAATTGTGATAATGACGCTCGGCGTTCTTCATGAACCACTGTGAGCTGGCATGTTTGACTGCGTGCTGTTATTTGCTATTATTTCTTCCTGTTTACCAGAGGGACTTGAGCATAGAACAGATCCTGGGGGGCTCCCACATAGATTATTAGTTAATTTGTTTTGACTTGGCTTTTTCATATCTGTTTAAACTAAACTTGTCCTACTTAACCAGCTCTGTTTTATTTTTCTTCTCCATAATGTTGGATTATTTTTTTTGTTTTCCTCTTTCTCACTTCATTGCATAGCCTGTAGCTCCTGCTACACTCGCTCCTCTGATTCTGTGATTAGCATTCTGCTGTATCACCATTCTGTCTATCACTTAACATACAGTGGAGCACCACCTCGAAGTGAAACCCAGTGTAGTCAGTCCTGTTAGAAGATGAAAGGAGATGCAGACGATGCTTGCACGTTTGCACACACACGCAAATGCATGCATATATGCACAAACACAGTAAAGTACAGGCATACATTTAAATTGGCACACGTACAGCCCTGATGAGAGCTCTGACAGCTGCAGTTCACTAAAAAGGCATAGAGTTTAGAGTAGCTTTACTTTTAAAAGGGCAGCCAGGCAAGGTGAATTTATTGCTTACTTCTCAAAAGAAGAAGATGCTCGAAGAACACCCCCCCCCCCCCCCCCCCCCCCCCCCCCCCCCCCCCCCAACACACACACTTCCTTGTCTCTATCCACAGATTGTGCCCACGTCAACCTTTGGATAACACTTCTGTTTATTGTGATTTTCAATATACCCCGCAAAAGATCTAATCTGCAAAGTGCTCCAAAAGCTATTCACTATCTGTGTCCTCTGGAGGTTGAAGAAGTTGCTCTGCACCATCTTATCTTCACAGTAAATAGTGCTCCTGTTTTAGAAGTGGGGGGGAAATGAACTGATTAGGCAGAACACAAGAAACAAAAGAGAGGTGGCTCCTCAAGGATTAGTATTCTGCTTGGTCTCCTGCTGGTGGCAGAGCGCACAGTCAATTGGCTTCCATTAACCTGCCAGTCGGCTCTTCATTACTTCATTAGAGCCGGCATCGAGGCTTGAAGTCCCGTCACAGTTCAGCCACTTGCTAGCAGCGCCATACTGTGGCTTTTGCACATTTCATCATGGTCTGCTTGTGCTGTCCGTCTGCACATCCTGTTCTTTCGGTCTTTTTAAAGTTGTAGTTGGTGCACAACCACTGAAGGAGTGCAGGCTGGTTACATAGGAGAATACGTGTCCCAGTTTACTACAGTGCCATTTGATTTGGTCATCAAATCACTTCTTTCCAGCAGAGACTATTATTTATGAGTCATTCTCCAGAGCCGTGCAGAACCACATGTCGTCACTTGGTTTATATGCTAAGAAAGGAACTCGCACCCATGCAGCGTTACATTTGCATTACTGTCTCCATTTTTAGAGTATTAAAGCGTGCTGAGGGACTTGTTGGTAATGAATGTTTGAACATTTGTCCACAAATGTTCAAAAACACACACGCACGTGCACACTAACTAAAACACACACACCGAAAAGTACTTGCTGTTCTCATTATCTTCACTTTTTTTTGTATTGTTGAAGAGTTGATTGAATTAATTCGTTTAAAAACTATCTTCTCCTTTTTTTTCAGTATTTCCAAACATTTCAATCTTAAAAGTGACCCCAAAGGATTTAAGTGTAATTATAATGTAACAAATATCAGCATAAATTTAATTTCCACTTTCCTTTTCATTTGATAGGGCTGTTCTTGTAGGGATATGGACATTATCGTGAAGATACACTATTTTTTTTAGATAGATATTCTTCTCAAATTTTAAAAGACATTGCTTCAGAGGCTGGAAGATGAATCATTTTTCATGAGAAAGTTTGCTTTCTCATGTTGGTCACCTGCTTTCTGACACCTGCTTTCCATTTTCTTTCTTTGTAACTCTAATGCCGTTAATCTTTTCTCTGTTTATTGTTGGCATTCAGAAAAGCTGTAATGGATTTGGTCTGTTTGACTGTACTGCTTTGATATTTATTTTGCATGCAAATCACGATTTATTGAAATCAGCTTTGGATGGGGTTTTTTTTCCCTTTCTGGTTGCTCTTCGTTGTGGGGTTTGAAACTATCTCACTCAGCTTCAAAGATGATTTTTTTTGTTGTTGTTGTTGTTGTTTAATTTTTATAATAATTTCTGTATTCACATTCACATTTAAGGTGATCACTTACATAAATGATGCAAGACAAGGAAAAAGTGTCTTGGTGCAGTGCCTACTCTTAATAGTCTCAGATAAATGGTTACAGAAAGATATGCTGCCAGTTGACTCATGCAGTGACTCACACACTGTTTACTCAGAAGAGGAACGAAAATACATTTCAAAATGAAGAGCTGGATAAATTATCAAGAAATGATATTTTGTTTTTTCATTGGAGTGATTTTTGGGTAACTTGCTATACTTTATTTACAATGCCGCATGACATCTTGGCATTTTAATATCGCAGCCTTCTAAATCATTCTAAGGCACACGCCCCACCAGGGAAATGCGCATTCATAACATCTGACAAGTTATAGTGCTGGAAGTTGAAGTGTCCTTCTATTTTTGACTCCACAATGTAGGGCTCGAAGTGAGATGAGGTTTAGCGTAGCTGCTCTTTGCTCTTTGATCTGGTGGAGCTTTGATAGACCCCGGAGGCTGTACTTAGGCTGTCCATATCGAGTTCTACTGCGGGGTGATGGCTTTCGTAGCACAATTCCTGTGGCTCAAGTGGCTGTGTTTGACATGAAAATGGCACTTACAGGTTCCTCCGCTTCCACTAGTTGTTATTGTGTTATTGTCTGTTTTGTGCAAGTGTCTCTTTTATTTATTTATTAGTTATAAAATCATTTTCGGCACACTTCATTCTAGAGGGGAACACAATCACGGAGAGAAAGATGGGAATAGAGTTTATTTAAGGAAAGTCGTTGTGAACATGGTAATTTTCTCCAGTGCTTCATTTGTTCCACAAAAAGATGATAATTTTTCAGATCAAAGTGTATTTTTATTACAGTTGTGTAGAATCAGTGAGATTGCAGAGGGAATGAAGAGAGACAGGCAGGATGATTTCCAAACAAATGAGGAAAACAAACCGTCTGCAGATATTACGTTTGCTCGAGACTTTGATAGGATGCAGGACAAGCTGAATTAGAGAGATGAAAACTTTTACTTTTGCGACATTTTATTTATTCTGTCTGTTTTCGGCTTGGATTGCTTTTTGACAGTAGTTCAATTGTTCCCTTCCGTTTCTGTACATGAATGAGGAGAATGAGCACAAGTATACCTCTCTGTTTTTCCCTTTCTCCTCGACTGCATCAATCATCCCACAGCTCAGCCCCCCCACCACCCCTCAACCACCCGCATCCAATTCAGCCCACTCAGACTCATTGTTAAGGGGACATATTGGAAAACTATTAGCTCTCATTATGCTTTATGACCACCCGCTCTCCCCATTCTGTCTTTTAATCACATTCCATCCCTTGTGTGCATGTGCGCACATTCTTGTGTGTGTGTGAATGTATGCGTGTATATACGCCGCAGCTACAGCGGCCAGGCGGACAGTAATGAACCACTTTCACTGTAATGCAATCGAGGCCCCTCCTTCTCCCATTTTATTGGCAAGTCAATTGCAGTGGCGCCACCTTTTATGGCAGCCCATCCAGGCTGCAGAAGTGTTGTGCATTCATGTACCATGTCAGCCAAATGGGATCAAGTCCAGGGCAACACAAATAAAATGAGATTGGACTGAATTGGGTATGGATTCTCTTTTTTTATTTATTTATTTATTTTTATATGAAGTCCTCATAGATGTGAAAACCCTTAGAGGAAACCTTACAGTATCCATTTGGTCCTTGTAACTCCAAATAACCAGGCTCTCATAAAGTGCTAAATATCTTGTAACTTCTCTGTATTGAGTCGTGCGGTGCGATCATCCGTGGCAACGCGTGTGTATGCATGTGCACGTGTTACTGGCAGAGAAATGGCAATTTTGAACATATGCTCTGTGACAGACACACAAAAGCTGACACACACTCATACACACGCGTAATGAGTAGTTTTAAGTTCCAATTGTTCGCTCCTGGCCAAGGCAACTGTCATCATTGTGCAGCAAAACTTCCATAATCCATCGGTGGCATGACCGCAGTCTAGCTTTCCCAGCAAAAGCTATTCTCTCTGTCTCTCCGTTTGTCGATCTCTTGCTTTTTTTTTCCGTCTCCCCCTCCATTTTCATTCCCCCTGCTTCACATTTCCCCTCTGGACTCGGTTTTATTCTTCCCTCTTGTCTCCTTTCGCTTTTCCAATTACAATTTTTTTTCACACTTAATCTGCCTTTCTCTGGGAACTTTTATCTGGGGTTGATGACAGTGGAGAGGCTGAGTTGGAAGAAAAAAGGGTGATAGCTTCAAATTATTGTTGACTACAGTGATGATGACGGTGATGATAATGAGAGAAATCTGAATGACAATGATGCCATTAATGATGATTAAAGTGGAAATGTGGATGACAATAACCTGAAAATTGGGATAATAGCGGTCGCTGTCTTTCTAAGCAATATCCATGTTTCCCCTTGGTCCAGATGGAGAGAGACAGACGGAGGGGACCGACGCCAGCCGAAAGAGGGACACTCGCTCCTCAGCCGGACACCACAAGAGCGAGGACACCAGCGACAGCAGGGAGGACGATGCGGGAGTGAGTGTTTCTTTCTTAATGCCTTTCCTATTTTCTGTGTTACCACTCAAGAGTGAATATTAATTTGATGCCCATGACTAATCACATGCTCCCTACCCGGCCCACATCATTTTGACTAAGCAGCAATGTGGATCGTTGCTTATGTGCAGGGGGCTCAGGTAGTCCTGTTCATGCACCTACTGCTTATTACATGTTTTATTCTGCAAGAGTCCAGTGCTACAAAGCCCGCCCATTATAATTAAAAACATTAAACATAATTAAACAGGACAATCAGCTTACAGGTAAAGATGTCCATGAAACTGGCTAATGTTGAAGATGAAACAATAAAGGCGTCTGTCTTCAGATTCTATTGTTTAGAAAGTTTTCTTTTTTTACTCCAGCCCATCTCCAGCTTAGCCTCCTGACCCCACCCACTGCAGTGAATTTTAATAATGTTTCCAGCTCTGGGAGGCCACAGCTCAAATTAGGTTGTGAATACATTATGCAATCTAACCTCCTCTTCGAGCATTTATTTCTCTGATAGTTTTCACGCAGAGAGATGTGAAATTAGTCTGAGTTATTTTCAACGGCAAAATATAATACAGAGTTGGACCACAGCCAGGGATCATTAGCACTTGGTACATGCAGCAGTAAGCCGCAGAGATAATCTGACACTTAAGCTCATATTTAGTCTTTTTTTTCTTTACTTCAAAAGTCTTATTTAGAGGAAAGTAGAGCAATTTTAGACAATTTCATTTATTTTAGATAATTTTCGGCTGTACGGGACCTCCGGGGTAGACTTCCTCCAGCTGTGTGTTGAAATGACAAACCAGTTTGTTTTTTTCCCATGTGCAGTCCAAATGACGACTATTATCAAAAATCCTCTTAAAAAACTCTTGCTGTGAATATAAATGTGATAAACTGTTGTCATTACAACCCCGTTCTCCAAATATGTACCCATCGTGGTACTATTTACAATGTGAATTGAAGTTTTTGCAGAGTGATTACAAAGAAAAAATATTTTTGATAATTTCTCCATGGAAAGGGATAAATGGCTTTAAGCAGCTTCTGCGTTGTACTTTCTGCTGCTTACTTTGGGTGATTTGGTCTTTAGAGATTGAAAACCATCTGGGGACTTACAGAATTGAGAACATTTATGGAGTCATAAAACTACCATGTAATAGTTTCTCTTTTCTCACAGCAACTGCAACAAGGTTGTTTGTTTGTTTTAGCAGTACTGTGCAGAAGTCTCGAACCGCCCTTTCTTTATGGTTTGCTTGGAACATGGGAAATGGGTGCAGTGATTTATTGAGACGCAAACACAAATTGAAAAATGGTATATAAGGATAAACTAAAGTTTTTACAATTCTAACAAGGTCAAAGTCAATATTAGTCAATACTTCAACAAAGTCTTGTGAAACTTTCTTGCAATTTTTTTCGTGTAATTCGGCATACCTCAGGCTTTTCTCCGTGTTACCCTCCCTTAATCATGGCATATCCACTCATCCAGTTTCCTTATGTTTTTAAGGACGCACTACACATCATGTTGAGATAGCCCAAGTTTTTTTTGCTATTTTTGCTAAAAGCCATTAGCTATTAGTACCTTGTTGGTGCAAAAACACAATTTTTATTCCTGGGTTTTCTTTGTTGGAATGTCAAAGAAACTAGAGCAATTTACGTGTTTCTGCAACAGGCTGCAACAGTAACAAAGTGCCTCAGATACTATTTAAAATTGGTTCTTTCTCTGTTTTATGGAGACACAACAGTGGTTCAGAACTTGAGTTAGTTGCCTTTTTGTGCTTGAATGAGCAGATCAGTATAATAGTATAGTATCTCCCCCCAAAAAGTAAATCACTCCTCTGAAGGACTTTCAGAAAGCCTGACAAACTGTTACTAAAGATCACCTTAAAAAATTACAGGAAAGTCTGGCTCCTTATAGTAGAAACAAAATAATCAGAAATGGGAGGTGACTCAAAAGTTTTTTTTTGTTTTTTTTTTTTAGCTGTAAAAACGAACATTTAATACTCAGAGGAGTCACCGTTTGTCATCTAGCCTTAAGGCAGGCAATTTATTATTAATATCTTCTTCAAAATCTCAGCTGACCAGGTTTACACACCATCACTTGCCACTCATGTTGACAGCCCGTCTACCTTGAAGCAGTATCTTGCCTGAGGCTCAGATATCTATAAAACTACCGGAAGTGCTAAAGGATCAGCTCACTCTTTGAAGGCGGATATGCAGTAATTAAATACTCACTGACTGTGTTGAATGTTTTATGCCAGAAGAGGTATAAACCCTTGAAAAGCAGATGATATAGACATATGTAGCTTAATCTGATGTACTAACTTTTAACTGCCTGAAATGAAATCACCAGATTTTGTAAAATGTTACAGCAAATATACAACATATTGAAGTGTGGAGGTAAAAATAAGAAATATTAATGCATTTCTCCATATTTCATTAAAACCGGTTTGTGTGCGTGTGTGTGTGTGTGTGTACATGTGTGGGTGTGTGTGTGTGTGTCTTACATGTGCGAGGATGTGCTGTGTGGTTATGTGGATGTGAATTATCTGGACTTGTGAGGCTCTACAAAGATACAGATACATAAATAATACATGATAACAAGAAGAAGAAACCATAATAATAAAGGCAAACAGATGAAATAAGGGAACAAATCAATAAAGCTATACTTAATTATGGAATAGAAAGAGCTGGGAAACTGTAGTAGAATAGAAACACTGTGCACTCTGTGGATTGACACTGATGTCATATCCTATGAATATGTCAGAGCTAAAGCAGCTCTGTAATCTAAATTTCTCCCACATTTTATGCCAGTGTGCTCTGTAGTTACCAGAAATGCTGATTTGAGGTTATTGTTGCAGAAGGAGTTTCAACCAAGAGTTTTTCAGACATATTAAAAATATTAAACTTCAAGTTAAAATCCACATTGTTAAAACATTGCTGTGCAACTGTCGACTAGCTGAGGGCCCGGGCCATAAGAACAGGACGATGTATCTAGCTCTGTAAAATGCAGTCGTCTTCAAAATCGTTTTAAGGGAAGACTTTAGAAAATGTGCTTGCACCGATAAGAGTAGTGAAGGGAAGCCGGCAGGCTTTTTCTGAACCGCCTTCCTCTAAACTCTAAACCTTCCTGATGGTGTTAGGGTTTCTCTTTTATAATAGTTAAATGAAAGCAGCTCTCAGAGTGAGTCAGTCTTGTCCGCTGAAGCTCAAAAATTCAGCTACACTGTAAGCGTTTTGCTGAAGTCACCAAAATGTTTAAGAAAGTTTATGGCACGCTCTTCATGAATTTTAATAGTGGCACTTTGTCATAAGTCCCTTAATTGACAGGTGATAGATTTGGTTTGCTTCAAATAATGATTACTTAAATTGAACGGTGTTCATACTTTGACTGTAAACATGCCCTAAATCATCACAACTGCAATATAAGAGATAGGAATGGCCCGCTGCTGGAGGTGCTTGTTTGGATTTACGATCTGTGCCGTACAGGAGCTCCATTTATGGTTATCTATAACACCTCTTTGTTTGTAGCAAGCATTATTTTCTCCTTTCAAGTGTTTGTGTGTGTGTGTGTGTGTGCACCTGTGTTTGTGTGTGTGCATGTTAACATGGCTCACCCGTACGACTTTCCTGTTGGGCTCTATAACCGCATTTCTCTTCATTATAAATTTACATGACCATTTGGCCGCTCTTTGTTCCAGCAGTGTGTGTGTGTGTGTGCGCATCAAAGATGCCAGTGCTTCTTATTCAGCACTGGGATCTTTGAGGAATATCTAAAGCAGCATAACTGACACCTTCAGTTCATGTTACGCTGCTCCACTGTGAACACTTCCCTATTTAGATAATGTCACTGCCAAAGGTCAAACCTGTAGTTCATGTTTCAAGGCCTGGTAGTCAAAGCTGAGTGTGTCTGTCTGTGTGTGTGTGTTGGTGCGAGAGAGAGGAAGGTGTAGTATGTTTAAAAAAGAAAATCAAAAAAAACTGTAATAAGGGTCATGGGCATATGGGTCTTTTCTCTTTTGTTTACCTCTTCTGTTCAGCTTTTCTAATGTTTAGTGCTGCACTAATAGCTCACTAAAGCTGCCATTTCAGAAGTTTCAAACAATAAAATGAAATGGCTTGGATGAAAACAGAGAAAATCCCTTAAGGCTTTATGCACTCAAGATTAATAGACAACCTAAACCAAAATAGAATGACCTTATTGCAATTGGGCAGTGTTTTAGAGGCAGGTTCTCACAGCAGAGCCATATAGAAGTGTATTTTTTTCAACCAGATAAGAGGTAGATAGATGAAGCTCAGTGGCATCATAGATATTAGTGAGTGTTAGTGTAAAAAGGAAGCTGCAGTCCTCACACGGGCCTTGTAAATGCGTTCTGTGTTTCTCTTGGTTGCTGTCAGATGCATCGAGAGAGTGGTGGCACGGAGGAAACACAGAAAGTGTTTATCTGGACTTTTTAAGGGCAAGTATATAAGGATGGGATGAAGAATACGCTGAAGAAGAGGACAGATAAGACGTGTGTCTAGAGACGTGTAAAGATGAGGAGTATCAAAGTACCATCTGATCTGAGAAGCAAATGTTTGCACCTTTTTCTTTTAAAAAAAAGTATATTCTTCCCTGTAAATAAATAACAATGAAAAATCTGTTTCAATAGTTGTCTGTCATGATTGGAAATTATAGAAACTAAGTCGGGGTGTTTTTTAAAAAAAAAAAGAAAGATATAATATCTTCCCAGCCACCTGCTTTTACCTATAATGAATGTATCCACTGTCACAAACTGCCTGTAGTTGTATATTTGCAGCCTCCAGGTGGTTGCCTTGCTTTTTTTTAGAATGAGAATGAGGTTACATAAAGGATGTTTTTTTTTTTCCTCTTTGCCACTTGGTGCATACATATTCCAATGTAGAGTATATGGACATGTGGGCGTTGAATGGTGGGTGTGTATGAATGTGTATGTTGTTAAAATGAACAAGATATAGATTCGGTGCCCTGCCTCCTGCTA